AAAAAAGATTTGCAATAGGATAAAAGACGTTTATGCACTAGCGTTCCAAAAGTGGAAGGTAGCGGTCAAGCGTGAGGGGGTCGAGCCACCTTAATGGACGATAAGATAGATAGAGAGATAGATAGATAGATTTTATTTCGCTCATGTAATTGAAAATTTACAACTTTTGCTGATAGTACAGTAAATGAGGGTTTTAGTAAATGTGTATATATATATAATTTTGTACGTAATCAAAATCATTGAGCCTGAGGGCTATGTAGACGACAACTATTTGATTTCCTAATTAGCGTAGGTTATTAATATTCATAAGTTGAAATTATGGGATGTAAGCCGGGACAGGCAGCAAGACGATCGTAATACGTATACCATATGGTATGTCAAGATTATATTTGATTTTCCGTAAGATATAGGCTTTTAATTTGTAACTTTTTATTTCTAGTGAACCTCGTAATTATAAATCTGTCTATTGTGAATGAAATAACTGAAGAACATCAAGATTATCGAGAATTAAATCGCTGATATAATCGACGAGCGTTTTGCGTTGTGTACCCATTACTGAATTAGATGTCCCCACCGAACAAAAGAAGATGTCCGCCACAGGCTAAGTTAACTGGGAAGTTAACTTCCCTCTGCCCCCTGTGCACGCGAGAAAAAGTTTTAAAAAATGAATTTTAAAAAAGAATTTTAAAAGAAAAAATAGCGAAAACTAAAGAATAAAAATGTAGAAAAGCTCAGAAATCACCGAGTTAAAATGTCTAAAAATATATTGCGGACGATATGTCGTGCAGACAGGGCAGAAAAACGATCTTTGACCTTCCGCCATAAGGACAGGTTTACAATATATTTTATAAACAAGTACTTTTGGAGCTAAATAGCACAATATCAAATAAAGCCGTGTACTTTGGGAGAGGTGATATTTTGATCAGCAGAAAAACTGACATTTTAGTGATACTAATAAGTAGCCTTTACTCTAAATCGACAAAATTTCGTCACAAGTTTCGAGCAGCAGTGACACAAATGAAACGCTTAGAAAATTGGATTAAAACTCAGTTAATAAGAAAATCGTGAAAGAAGCGGGCTCACCGGTTTTATGCCCCGGTTTTCTGCCCTGTCTGTCGTGCATTCAGTCGTAAACAAAAGATGGATCAAAATTGATCTTGGATCAAAATTGGTTATGTATTCTTTTGAACTTGTTAACTCAGCGGAGTGTTTTTCCTGCTAGAAGTGTTTTTTTTTTTTTCTTTTCGTCTTTCCTGAGTTTGCAAACGTCAAAAAGGGATTAGTAATAAGCTTGTTTTAATTCACTCTTTATGTACTTGTCAGTTTTTCCGCATGACTGCTTCTCTTTGTATTTTAGTTTCGACTCTCGCTTTCACGGAATGCTACCGATACTTAGAGTCCTTAGATTATTACAACAACTGATTGGTTAAAGGAGAGTAATCGATCCGAACTAAAACAGGAAAATTATGTAATCTTAATTTTCATTGTTAGATTTTAATTTATCCCGTTACAGCGTACCATAATTTGTCATTATAACCTTGATGCGCCTTGTCACTCATCTCCGCTCACTTTCGACCTGGATTTATAGTAACACACCACTCTGCCTTTGAGCCCAGAGCGTTATTTTTGAAATGGCTTCTTCCTTGAAACTGGTCGTTTTAGCGTTACTACTAATCTTTGTCTTCCCAGTTAGCTCAAACACGTTCCTCAATGTGGAAAAACTAAGATCATGGTACATAGTTTTGTCTGGCGAAGCGGGATTTTCGCCCAACTCAATTTCTGTCCTCGACACTTTAGCTCTTTTCCTGGTGTCTGCCGTCACGTTTTACATTCTTTTTAAAGTTTGGAACTTTCTCTTCGTCCCTATCAAACTCTTTCGCTCGCTTGGAGATGCAGGATATATTCCAGATGGAAGACGACCTATGAAAGACGTGGCTTTTGAAGTCAAACGTAGACGTAAAACTGGGAACTTGCCGCCTGTATATCCCAATGGGTGGTTTCATGTTTTAAACTCTTGGGAAGTAGGTACTTCGGAAGTTAAGTTTGTATCCTGTTTAGGAGAACATTTAGCTGTCTTTAGGGGTGAGGATGGTGTAGCACATATAGTCGATGCTTACTGCCCTCATCTTGGAGCAAATTTGGCAATCGGGGGACAAGTCGTTGGGAACTGCATTCAGTGTCCGTTCCATGGATGGGAATTCGAAGGAGATGATGGCAAGTGCACCAAAATTCCCTACAGTAAAAACATTCCCGCGGTCGCAAAGATCAAATCATGGCCATGTCTGGAAAGAAATGAATCGATCATGTTATGGTATCATGCTGAAGGAGCTGAGTCATCTTGGATACCCGAAGATTTAAATGGAATTCAATCTGGAAAGTGGGTCTACCGAGGGCGAACGACACACCAAGTCAACGCCCACATCCAGGTAAGAAACAATAAATTTATGCTTTGAGTTCGAGTCAGTTTCTAAAACGACAATTTTTACGATTGACATGAGCTGTTATGTTGATGTTGATATGCTACGAAAGACAATGAATACTTAATTCCATTAACTATTCATTCATTCTTTAACACTTTGATTTTTTATCTACTTGCAATTGCGAAGTCTTTCAAACTTTACATTCTATTCAGTCATTAACATCGAAATTTAACTCCTTTGGCTTTTTATAGGTTTAGCAATATGCCACATTAATATATTCATGTCTGGTTAAATAGACTGATTGATCAAAAGAATTTGATTTAGGGCTCGTGCTTGCGTCTCCTCGTGAAAACAGGCTTAAATCATAGACCCATCATGGATATTAATTAAATAAAAACAAGTATAATTATTAACTAGATAATCTATTCATTGCGTGCTCTATACAATAGTAATACTTAAGATGACAATATTGACAAGCAAAACAATTGGATAAAAAGTGCTGTGCTTGTTTCACAATAACTATTGATGTTAAGGTGACTAATAGTATTATATCCTATTATCAAAAGTTGATATTAAACTAGATACTCTATTTATTGTATAAAATAAAGTAAAATCTTGAGTAAATTTGTAATCGTAGAATTTTTCAGAACTTTGAAATTAAGAATTAGTTAAATGATAAGAGTTGCAACCAAATATACATTGCTCTTAAAAAACTTATTAATAATTCATGAAGGAAATACAATAGAAATCATGACCATGAAGCTGATTTTATATCTGATATAGATTTGTCTTCATTTGCATAAACTTTAACTTGGATTTTCTCTATCAAATTTGGTTCACTTTCGTAAAGAATTCAGTACAATATGAGAACATTACATCATCAGTTTTTTAAGCTGTTCAATAAACTTGCAGATTGTGTTTTATGTAATGTTTAATAAACGAGCAGGAGTGTTTTATCGGGTATAAAACACGAGGCGCAGCCGAGTGGTTTTAGACCCGATAAAMCACGATCTGCGAGATTATTGAACGGCTTAGAAAACTTATGATGTTTGTTCTCATTGTGTACCGATTTTTTTACGAAATGAACTGAATTTAATATGAATTACAAAACCACTCAAGGTCTTCACAGAAAGGGTCTTAGGACCAATGTTTTTTTCTTCCCCCTACAGGAAATACCAGAAAATGGAGCAGACTTGAACCACTTAGATCATCTTCATGGATCTCCATTCCTTGCCGGAACTGATCTGCGCTACACATTTACTTCCAAATGGCTTGAAGTTATGCGTCATTCCTGGGATGGTTCTTGGTCAGTGGATGAAGATAACAAACATGTCGGGAAGCTTACTTTGAAACATGAAATTGTTGTGTTTGGTTTTCGAATACCTTTGCTTGATTTCTACCTCTGTGCAAAGCAGGTGAAAATGAATGAATAAATTAATGATTATATGAATGAATATGTGCAACATTGAATGAACAAATGAATGATTTAGCAATAAACTCCATGAATGAATAAAAGAATGAATGGATAAATGGGTGATTGCACAAATGAATGAATGTTTGCCTCATTAAAAAATGAAGAATAAATGAATGAAGAATGAATGATTAAAGAATGAAGATATGTGAATAAATGACTTAATTAACAAATTTTTTTATGAATGAATGAATAAATTAATGAATGGTTGCATTTGATTTTTATTTCTCATAGACTGGTCCAGGAATAGTCCATATGCATTTTTCCACCATTTTTGGTGATGGCATTATGATCCACACAGTCACGCCAGAAGAACCTCTTATACAGAGGGTTGAACACAAGATATATTGGTCAAGATTCATGCCTGCAATAGTAGCCAAGTTTTATCTATATGCCGAGAGTATCCAGGTTAGTATTGCTTGGTTTCAATCAACTGAAGAAAAAAATCTATGAATCTCATTTATCTGGAGGCTTCACGTCCTTCAACTTTAATTTCATTAAGCATTTTTGATTGTTCAATTTCCTGCAGATAGAGCGTGACATCATGATATGGAACTACAAGAGGTATGAGGCAAAGCCACTCCTAGTGAAAGAAGATAATCTCATTGGTAAACATCGACGCTGGTACTCTCAGTTCTACTCTGAAAATAGCCCTCAGTATCCTGCCATAAAGAATAACCACCTAGACTGGTAATTCAATATCTTAGAAATTAGAGAATGCTCTGGCATGAGCAATTATTCTTTGGCTAGTTCATGATCTTCTCCTATTACTTCAAAGCTTAATGAAAACCCTGCTCTTTTAGCTGTCAAGAAAATGCCGATCCATACTTTTAAGGGATGCGCAGAGGGAGTTTACTAGTGAACCCTCTGTAATTTTGCAGCTCCCCTAAAAAAACCACCAACAGATGAATTTATTTTTTTCAAACGTCCCTTAATTCCTATATTTTCCAAAAAACTTATTTCCCTTCCCTGGTGGATGTATAATGGTTGGCACTAGATTCTCGGCTCTATTACTGCATTTTAAAGGTAATCAGCCCATTGTTTGAGGTGTGCTTGGTCCTAAAAGTTCTTGGGGGTACTCTTGGCCATTTAGGGGTGGGGATGTGCCACTGAGCTCTCTGAACCCTGACCCTGTTTCAGAGTAGAATTGCTGAAATTCATACCCTGTTCTAGAGTAAGATCGCTGAAAACCATACCCTGTTCCGGTATTGCAAAAATAGATACCCTGTTCCAGAGAGGAGAGAGCGTGATTTCATATACCCTGTCCCAGAGTGAGCACGATTTTATATGCCCTGTTCCAGAGTAGATTCGCTGAAATATAGCGAACATAGGGGAGTTCCCCCCCACCCCCGGGTAAACGTTTTGGGTATTAATAATAATAAACATTCAATTTCTTTTTTAAAACCTGATTTTTGAAGAAAAATATTTTTGGAAAAAACAAACTGGCTTCATACATCAATTTTTTAATGAACAATCTATTTTTTGAAAAAAAGACTGGCTTCATATACTAACTTAAAATACTAGGTACTTAAATTTATAATTTTTTCTTAGTTATCAATATTTCAAAACTTAATATTTGATATAAAATTCTTACATAATAATTAATGTAATTAATTTTATTTGTATTAATGATTATTTTTAATTAGCATCTAACTAGTAATGTGCAATCGTTCGAAGATTAAATTTAGGAAAATAATTATGTTAATTAAGGTAATATGTTATGTAAACTTAAGGAGTACAAAAGTTAGTGATTTTACATAGAGTGCATAATTCAGACAAACTGTTGAATAGTTAGATAAATTTATCTAACCTAGATAACTATTTAGTTGACGTCACCTAAAATAGTAAAAGCACGCTAAATAACRGTCATGCTAATCCGGGGGGTTGTTTTACCAAAGAATGAGCGAATAGACATCCATTTGTATCATCGTTTCTCCCCCTGATTTCAGTAGCTGTTTACTCGTAGTTTCAAATATAGGTGACGTCAGCTAAAATAGTAAATAACTTGTCTAATTTAGGTGACGTCACCTATTCAACAGTGAGACTAAAAGCACTCTAACCTGTGCAAAATTAAGACTAAAGCAATAATACATAGTGGTAGACACTTGTTCCATTGTTTTCTCCTCTTTTACTTTGATTGTTTAGTCAATAATTGTTTCAAAAGCCAAATCAAATGGTATTAGTTACAGTTAGTAGTATGTATCAATTTCAATAGAAATGGCTTGCATGCTTACTTGGACTATCATTATGATAAATTTCAGCTGACGCTGGAATGCTAATAGACCCCTTGCACTGAGTCCTGAGAGGAATTGTTCTGGGGGACAAAACAATAGGCCGTCTTTTCTCATGCAAAAAAAAATCCATTGTTTGGTACCCCAGAACAAATCCTCTTGGGACTTGGTGAAAGGGGTCTATATTGAGTCTTTTAAGAATCTTGCTTTGGGCCAATGCACTTGTTTGACATTTTATGATTACCATGATTACTATACAGCACTTTGAAATATGCAGCTCAATTAGGGCAAAACAATTTAAGGTTTCCGATTCTCTAAGATATTCCATTTTTTTTGTTCTCCAAATTGAGCTGCATTCTGAAGTGCTGCAAGGAGTATTAAATACTCTTTAAGTCTCTGTCATTTTCTTTCATTTTTAATGCAATTATTATTCAATGTTCACTGTTAATTAGATATTATTTCACACAGTTAAATGTAACCTTTCCTAGTCTAACTAATATTAACAGTAGTACATTAATTATATTGCTTTCTTTTGTTTCTATCGGACATTATATTACACCTTTATTAGATTTTACATCATCAAGTACCATCACTCTTAATCTTCTTAAATTTTCTAATATTAATTATGATGCTAAATTATAATTATGGTGGAGTTGTGTTACCTCAATATTTCAAATTTTCTGTTATTTCTCGACCTTTAGGTGACATCCCATAGATGTGATGACTGTAGCACTAAAATATAATTCAATACCCTTGTTTATCTTCACCCCAATTTTTCAAAGCTAATAGACCTCTTTAGCTTGGTATCCAATATTGCCCATTACAGATCACATGACATTCCCTTGGGATTTGTTCTTTTATGATGAACATGTTAAAATATTTACACATGAAAGAATCAACTCCCAAGAGTGGCATCACATGGTCTGAAGTGTGTACAACACGCAACGAAGCTAAAAGGGTCTATTATGACAGAACTCCATGATTATATTTCAATTTGATTATGTCAGACTGTAATGTATAATGTATTTTCTATACTTTGGCACCTTTGAGAGTATGTATGTAGAATAAGTTGCACTCTTATGTTAATCTCAAACAAACTCGACTGAGTTGATTTAAAGCAACTGATTGTCATCAGTACAATGCTTTATTGCAATGCTATTTTTGCATGCTGTTTAGCTTTAGATATTGCGTTTAGTTGCACTGGCCAAAAACAAAGAGGCCTTAATTTTGGGACATTTTTCTTTAAAAAATTTGTAAAGCCATACATACGTAGATGCACACCTCAATGCATCCAGTACTGATACAGTATGTAAAAGACTTCAAAAAGGCCTTTAGTGAAGAGCTCAGTTAAACTAAACTGTGATCAATATGACTAATATACCGGTAAATATGGATAAAGTAAATAAAAATAAACTTAAATTTAAAAGCCCTTCAAAGAAGACACACACACTATACAAAATAACAACCCACCTAATACTGATATGGTAAATAAAAATCAACTTCAAAAACTCCTTCAGTGGTGTTATCAGTGTCCAAGCTTACATGGCTGGAGAAAAACGTTTTGAATCCCAGGCGAGCATCAATAAGCAACTCTGCTCGCATACAATAACTACCTCAAGAATAGAACCATAGCTCAACTTGGTGCTGCAAGATGAGCGCCATTTATCACCACTATGCCGCCCATGCAGGATGAACAGCACAACATGTGAAAGTATGACTGCACATTTTATTAATGTATTTGGTAATGCATACTTTTATGCTTAGGTTTTTTGCACACATTTTGATGCGAAGCTGGCTGGTCACCAGGTATAGGAGTGTAAAAGCTTGTTTGGCAGCAAAAAAGCCTGCACATAGAATTGAAGTATGCAATTAAATGTAGTCATACTTTTGCACATGGTGTTGTAATATATCATGCAATGTCAAAGATAACCTACCTAATAGCATACAGTACACAATGTAATACCTACTACTGATTTGGTATGGAATTATGAAATAACTAGAGAACTGTAGCTTATTTGGCTGGAAGGAATTGACTCATGAAATCAATTGGCAGAGGGAAGATAATGGTTGAGTTTTTCTCAGCAGAGATGGTTGTTAAGGTCTGAAGGTAGCGAAGCTGAAGAGCTTGTGAGTTTTCTGCAATAATGTCAGCAGCTTCTTTGAGGGATCGCGAGGCATTCATTTCTCCATCAGCAGCAATAACCTGGTGCAGATAAAAAATTCTTAAAATTACCTGACATTTTTGATGACCTGTGTCCAATTATGTGGTTGAATCACTAACCTTTGCTCTGGCTTCCCTTGAGGCCTCAGCTTCTGCTGCCATGGCTCTCTGCAGCTGTTGTGGCAGACGTACATCTTTACTACAGAAGTTGAGAAACATTTAAGGTATGGCATTAGTATGATATCATGATATAAAACCTACTCATCATCATGATTATTAAATTCATCATCTTCAAAAATTTTGTCATCATCATCATCAAACATTTTTGTCATCATCATCATCAAACACCTTAATTTGTCATCATCATCAAACATCTTTGTATCATCATCATCATCAAACATCTTTGTCATCATATCATCATCAAACATATCTGCCATCATCATCATCAAACATTGTCATCATCATCATCAAACATCTTTGTCATCATATCAAACATCTGCCATCATCATCAGCAAACATTTTGTCATCATCATCATCAAACATCTGTCATTATCACCAAACATATTTGTCATCATCAAACATCATCATCATCAGTTCCAATCAGCTATCAGTGGCATGGACATATCGTTGTCCTTGCTTTTGATGTCCTTACTAGAACGTCAAAGGCAATTAGGACAAATATGTAAAAAATGATTTACAGTTTTGAAAACCTGCTTGCATCATGGTCTGGGGTGAGTCCAGTCCCCTTTCATGGATGTCTGTGCTTCCCTAAATTTATTATAATTATTATTTCTTAGATACTTACACTTCAACTCTCTCAACTTTGACTCCCCATGGATCCGTTGCCTCATCAAGTGCAGACTAACAAAAGAAATGATATGTGAGATATAGTATTATTAACACTAGACTCACTCGCTGTGATTTTTTCTTGTGTACATTTATTGATAACTTCCAACACTTACCTGCATAACATGGCTGATGATATCTCGTTCAGTGAGAATTTCACTCAAGCTCTTTGTTCCCAGCACATTCCTGAGGGTCGTCTGGGCCAGCAGACGAGTGGAGCGGTTCGCATTCTCAACATTAGTGATTGACATTGTTGCATTGTAAATTCTGAAGTAGACAACAGCATCCACAGCTACTGTCACACTGTCTTTTGTCAAAATCTTTGAGAGAAAACGTTTTATAATAATAATAAAAGCTTTATTTAATGAAGGTTTAAACTTTCAGTCATAGACTGAAACTATAACTAAATAACTAACTATAGTTAGTTTTTTTTTTTGTAAATGAAAAAAAAAAAGAAAAGCCAAAACCTTCCCATTCAGAATGAAAATTGGTCACTTTGTAAGTCAAAAATAAAAAAAAACTAGAAAAACTTGTTTTCATCATTAACTTTAAATTACCTCTTGTGGAGGGACGTCAAATGACACAACCCTAAGGTCCACCTTCTGGTAGGAGTCGATGCAGGGAAGAATGAAAAACATTCCTGTAATGGTGGGAAAAAATAACAAATTGTTTGATGAATGGTGAAGATAGTATGGAGTATTTGTGTGTATGTGAGCAGGAAGTTGAAGTGTGGAGGAAGTCTTTGATCCCACACAGTGGAGTAGATAATGATAATAATGATGATAATAATAATGATAATAATAATAACAACAATGATGATGATAATATATTTATGTATCAATGAAAAAGATAAATAAATAAGGTTTTTTGAATCAAAAACGTAAGACTACAAGTAGTAAGTAAATTGTAAGAGCTCAATTAATTTTGAATGGATATTAAAGCATCTTTGGAAACGAAACCAAGGTATTTGAGGTAATATTCATACCTCCCCCTGAAATTATTAATAGACTGTGAAATTGAACATACCTGGTCCCTTGGCTCCACCTGCTACTAACCGACCTAGTCTGAAGATGACAGCTCGTTCAAACTCTTGAACAATCTATAGTAATTAAATGAAAAAGAACCGGGAAAAAGAAATCTAGGTTTGTGCAGTTCTAAAGACTAGACTAGCTGGTTACTAAAGCTAGTCAGCTAGATTAGGCAAACACTGTTATTGTTACGACATTCCAAGGACCATGGTAGCTGAGGATGTTACGACAGTTAATGTCAATTTCTAAATTTTAATTTGATTTTTTAGTTTCACCTTGGTAATTTGGAGCAGACTGCTCCCTGGTTCCATCTATACAAATGCACATGCTTTGATGCAACAACTAAAGAAAAATTGAAATTGAAGAATTTGGCTGTACCTTCAGACAGAAGCAAAGTGAGATCGGCATGGTACATATACAGATGATGACTGACAGGCCCCATAGCATATAGTAACATATTCCTCTATCATAATTTGATGCCTCTGAAAGAGTCGGTAAGACAAAAATTGAATACATATTAGTTATACAATCATTTTGATTAACACTGACGGCGGGCTTGGAGGGGCTATGGCCCCTTCACTTTTTCCCTTTTCCCATATTAGGCTGCGTTCATAATGTATGGCAGAGGGGGACAGGTGAAATTGAGGGGGGATCCGGAAAATTTTGGTAGTAAAAAGGGGTGGATGGGCAAGTTTTTATCAGAAAAAAGGGGGGAAGCACAATTTTTGGAAGAAGCTACAAGCCCTGCTTGGGGGGATCATATTTTTTTGCATGACATTAAGGGGGGGTGTTAAGAATTATTCTGGACATTTCAAATTTTCACCTTCCCCCCTCCCCCCCTCTTCCATACATTATGAATGCAGCCTTAGTCTCTTATAATATTTTCTAGTCTTTGCCCCCCTCCCCCCACTTTTTCTACATACCAGTCTCTTTTATTATTCAATCTTAGCCCCCTCCCCTCCCCCCTCCATGTTTTTGGTTTGTCTGTGTTCCTTGTAGTATCAGGGGTTTCATTAATGGTCAGGGATCGGAGAATGCTTCAGTAAATGTGTTCCTTGATTATACAGACTGAACGGCAGCAGACATCTTTGCCTTGGGGAAATGTTTTTCCATTTCAAACCAATATTGTGTCAATATATAAGATTTTTGTATCCATTTTCATTTGTCTTGTTCTCTTGTGCAACCACAACAAAGAAATGATGTTCTACTCTGAGCTTCACATGTGGTATAAAATTTAATAAAAATGGGGAAACATCATTCCCAAGGTAAAAAGAGTAATTATGCATGCCTTTAGGCAAGCCATTAACAGAAATTTTGCCAAATCTTTGGCAAATGTCGACAGATTTTTGTCTACTATTGGACTAATGACTAATAGATTTAAAGCAGTGTAGCCAATCGATGCAAGATTTGTAATAATACACAAGCCTGTTTATTCTAAACATAATGATATAATTAAAAGTGGATTTAAAATACTAAATGACTGATCTAAATCATATTGCCACAAGAAAGGTAACTTGAGAATACGGTTACGGCTGGGTCGCGGTAAAAGGCTTTGAAGTTGAATCAAGACACGTTCAAATTTTTAAATAAATCCCGCTGGGACAAAATTATAATGAAGAAATTTTGGAATCTCACAAAGCCACACGATTTATAAAGTAAACTATATCAACACGACTATGCTCTTTTGTTCCTCGAAATGACTAAAAAAAGACGACAAGAGAAAATAAATATTCAATAAGCGTCTCCGAGGATAATTTTACTCTGGAACGAGAAAAAAAATTCGGAAGAAAAATTTATAAAAACCGCAAAATGTCATAAAGAATTATGTTGACTTCTTCTGCATTTGTTTAGCCGGGGGGAAAGCAGGCGAACTTTAAAATAAAGTAGAAATAAAAACAAATTGTACTCTTGTGGTTATTCAAGACTAAAAAAAATTTAGTAAAAGAATAAATGAAATTTTGTGTGGCTGAGGTCGGAGTTTGCCTGAATATAAACCAAATTAGACACCTTTAATTTGATAAAAATCCTTGATTAAGGTCAACATTAAGGGGCGAAAAGCATATCTTACGTTAAGAAAAAGGCTGAAAATCGACTATTTCAGTAAAGTAAGACATTTTTAGGATTTTCTGGTTGAGATTTTCCACTTTTTTCGCGAAAAAGGCAGCGAGAAGCGATGCGAATAGTCATTCTCAGTGTGCGACTTCCAAGTCAAAAAGACCGACTTTTAAGCTTTATAACACGTGAAAAAGTTTATCTGAGTTTAGATTGAAAGTTGTTTAACATTACCTGCAGCGTCTCTAGCAATGTCGAAGGTTTTGGGCTTGCCTGCAGACATTTCTTTTTTCGCTTCGTTAAAGAAGTGAGAGTGAAAATGCAAATAATTTGATCACTAAAATGATAAATCTAGGGATGTCACGTGACTAACCGAACTCCAGGTGTCCCGCGCTTGTCAAAATAGATCGAGAGAAATACTGAACAAATGGATGAAAAATGGGATTTTAAAAAGAGGGAAAAAAGTTAGAGGGAAGGATCCAACTTTTATATTCTTGACTGTTCTATATTTGTAAAACGCATATGGATGTTTTAGGAGAGATAACTAGATAAAAACTAGTGTGAGCTACGTCGGTGTTTCTAATGAAACAGTAATGATGAAACGGTAAATTATACACCGTGAAAAGATAAAAAAACTTACTGACGTTTCGGTGGCTAGTCCTTCGTCGGAGTTTTTCCAATGTTATTCCAATGATAGTATATATGACCAAAAATCTTATTGACCTATCAAATTTAACACTCTTTACATAAATTATTAGAATAATGATGATGATAATGATAATGAATATACAAATTATTTTGACCTTTAAAAGGATACTGCAATTATCAATATTATCCAAACCCATCAGTTATTAATGATATTTGCCAAAACACTTTACTAAAAAGGACAAAGATCAAGAATATGGTATACCGACATGTTTATGAAAAAATTTTAAACAGAGTACTTTTTAGTCATTATTCCATTGGTCAAAAATATCTGTATCTATTGCCTTTAATTTTGCTACATTAGCCATAAAACCCAGAAGTGAATAATTAAAATTAAAAAAGAAACTAAAAAAAACTGCTTAACTATAATTATTGTTCTACATTACGAAATCATATCAATAAAGTTTCAAAAAAATATTTGTTACCCCTGAAAGTAAATTCTTTTGAGATTTGAAATATAAAAAAGTACTTTCTTAAAGATAGAAATTCGGTTGTTTTTTCTTTAAGATAAAAGGTTTTTTTCAAAATACAATTTTAGTAAGTTTTTTTTGGTTTGTAATAATCACGAAACAATCAAAATGCAAATTCTACTGAGTTGTCACAAAATTATATTTTGAAAATAGTCTAAAACATTGTAAATAGACTATATAAACAATACAACCGATTATTTGTGTTAGGCAAATGTTTCAACACCATCTTATCTAAAAAATCTATAGACATCGTGAATAAAACCAAAATTTACTCCAGGTTAAGTAAACGCTCTCGTTCTTGTGTAAAATAGCTCTGTGTGTTGGCTAGAACTCGCTGTTTTAATGTATTAAGAAAGTGCAAATGAGAACTAGAGTTCCACATCTATTAAACGATTTTAGGATGAAAAAAATAGGATGATGACTAGGACGAATTTTTTTTTGCAGGCAAAATACATTTTAAATTAAGCGATACTATTTTTTTATAATTTCGGAGTCACTTGGCTTAGCTTGTAGGGATTATCTGCGTATATATTTCTTTAAAGAACACTACCATTTGTAACATTTATATTTTAATATATTGTTACAATGTACATGGCCGGAATTGGTGGAATATCTTAAAATACAAAAGAGGAACACGTCGAAGCAAGAACAAAGTAATCTAGTAGAGTTTGAGTTACGGTAGATTAAAATTTTGAAGTTTTAAAACGGAGATTATCATAGCTTTTCCGGCGCAAGCATACTGATTACACACCCTTATACAACCTCGAACGTGTATATATTACATAAAATACCTGTCAAACCAAAGCCAGCGTCAAATTCAAAACAAAACAAATATCAATCCTCAAAGTTTTACTCTAAAAAGTCTAAAACAATTTCGAATCTTTTATAATTCTTATGACACATAGTATGCAAATTGTATGTCGGTCAAGTACCTGAGGAGTTCACTCGTATTTTAAATTGAGAATTTATAGCTTAAGTCAAGGTGTTTATTATATAGTTACCAAGCTAGTTCACTATATACCTTGATTATTTCCAGCGAAATTCAACATGTCGGTGCGTTGATACCCCTCAGCGACAGGGTTAATGTGAACGCTGGTTGAAGTCGTGGTTGTCGCCATTTTTGTACTAAAATATGTATAAGATGACAGTGAAATCTTTTTCGCGTTGAAAACTTTCACTAGGAGAAGATTAGGCCCTAATCCCACGCAAGGTTTTTATTGACATTAATTTTGCATTTAAATTCGGAAGTCCATATATTACTCCAAAATCGTTTCCTATTATTTCTGTAATCCGCTGAGCTAAATACAAAAGAATATTTTAATTGGTTGCCATGTATTTTATCAGCGGAAAAATCTTGAAGCGGAAGTAAAAGATGTAAACAAACAGAAGCCACGCGGGAAGTTTAAAAACCCCAATATCCAACCCAGTCTTTTTCATTTCAATATCAAACATGGCGGTCTTTGAACAGATGTTCTCTCCCTTTCTGCGTAACCAAGGCGCCCTTTTCTCATTCAAATAAGCAATTATATTTTCCCCTGCTATGTTTCGAAGAGAGTAGGTTTAGTATGACGACATTCGCAGAAGCGCTTTATAACGGGTGGCTTTACCTCTCGTAGTTGATGTTTACAAAATGTCAATGATTTCAAAGTAAAATTTGGGAGTGGTGGAGATGTTAGATCATCATGGAATCGCCTCACAAGACCATCGTTCCCGAGTGCACCATGCAAACAGAGTCAGTCCAGCTCCTGAACACCTACAACTCGAATCTCGGAACAATATGGCTGAATCTCCTCAACGTAGAGGTTGTGCCTTCCAACAACTACCTACCGTCCACTGCACAAGTAGTAAGTACAAAACTATTCTCTTTTTTTAATATTATCTACACAATTACAAAAGCCATGCAATCATTCCTTCTTAAATTTATTTGTTTTCGTATAATAAAGTTAATGTTAGAGTCGTTTATTCACTACTGCGGTTCTTGAAGTCTATAGAAACTTTACTTACTGAGCGCTCCTAATGATATATGAATTTTCTAAATATATCAACCTCAGTTTAATAAAATATAATGATAATATCGGAGTTTTTAGATATAGAAAGTGCTATATATATTTTTTTTCCATTTTAAATATCGTTGGCGGGATTTACACTAAGGCGACTCGATCCATTTTTAGGGTAAAATGAATCAACCGTTAGAATATATTTATTTATGTAATTATTTCATGACAAATATCAGCAGTTCTTTAATATCCGGAGTTATAAAACAGTACTCAGAGTTTATCTAAATAACATGAAGACAGTTATAAAACACCATCAAAAATTAAAAATAAACATCTTAATGTTGTCAGTCCTTGAAAACTCATTTATAAGCAAGTTGCATTCTCATTTAAACCATTAACCTTATGCTTTATAATTACAGTCTTACAAGTTTATTTTACATTAACGTTTTTAATAATTTTCACGCCATTCAATTTTTTTCTATTAATGGAATTTATGCTTTGCTGATTAAATAAAGCGAGTGTCTTCTCAAGTAGTTCAAAAGGAAAAGACGTTTATCATTACTATATTGAGTCTATACTGAATATAAACAAAAAAAACTAGCTAGTTTAAAGCTAGTATGGTCTACGTTGGTGTAAATATAAAATAAAAATAATTGACTTTTGAGAAACGCAGAATAGGAAAAAAAAGATTTTTCAAAGTTTGAACTGAAATTATATTTAAAAACTTATTGAGGTCTCAGACCTTCGAGGAGTCACTCATTTACAGTACTAGCATTTTTTAATTTATATTGAATTGTTATAGACTTTGAAGCTTGAATATCTTACTGAATTGTAACGGATTTTCACTCAAAAGCTTAAATTGTGTACCAGTTTTCCTTGAAATCACATTTCTTCGCCTTTGCAAGAATGTTTTCTTTTCGTTTGATTCGTGGTTCTAGAGGCGTTTTCAGAGAGCTGCGCCCTTCTTGAATTTTATCAATTATTTATATTCTCTCTCTTTCAAAATATCAAGAATAACAAAGCATTTTATAGTCATTGAAATTCTTTATCGCTATTTTTAAGAATTTATATTCATTATAGAAGATTCTTCAGTTTCAATTTTTATTATATCGAAGATTTTAAAAAGGTATAATAAAAATTGAAGATTGAAACGGTTTTTATTGGCGTTAATGTTAATGATAATAACCTTTTATGTCATAACAATATCTTTGTCAAAATTTTAGTCAATATTTATAAAGTTCAAATTGTGTCTGGCTGCGAGATATCAATTGAGATATCAAGCGTGGGTTTTTTACCTGGTCTTTAGTCGTTTTTACGACAATCTTTTGTCGTTTTTACGACAACATAATTCTTAAACCTAAAAACGTTACCCTAAAAACGTTACTCTAAAAACACTGTTGAAATTAATGAAGAATGGAAACTGAAGGAAGGAAAAAGCAATGAAAAGGTTAAAAAAAGCAAAAAGAAACTCATGAAAGCATTTTTTTAATGACAAAACAAAAACAAACTAAAAACAAAACAAAACAACTCAAACAGGGCCTAGTTGTACGTGGGTGGATAGCACTATCCGACGGATAAATCTTATCCAGTGGATAAATTTATTGGATAACAGCTTCACTTTATCCACTGGATAAGGTTTTCAGTACGTAACCGTCGGATAGCGCTATCCACCCTTTGTACAACTGGGCCCAGAAGTCTATAACTATTTATAGCTTTGAACTTGTGGCTCTAAAAAAAATCACCGTACATTAATGTTCAGAATCTACAGGACAACATATTTCGAAGCAGTTTATGCAAAATATTTAGATCCAGAACCTAAAAATTTGTTTATTTTTATTTTGTAAGTTTAGGGACCAGCTTTAGTGTTGTTTGTTTACTATACAACCTGCTACAAAAAATTTAATGGGGTTTTGTTTGTTTGTTTGTTTTTTATCAGCCAGCGCACCAGATGGCGGTACTATGGGAGCCTACGGTACTATTGCAGTTGTATTCTGTTTTGTAGTAGTGGTCTGTACTTTCCCTTTTTCGTTAATCTTTTGTTTAAAGGTAAGTGGAACGATTTCTCATAATGTTTTAATGTTCAAACGCACAAATCAGATTTGCGCAACGTAACGCAACGGCAACGGCGGAGGATTGTAACGCAAAACTTGTCACACTATTATTCTTAGTCTTCGAAAAGACTGATATTGAGCCTAAACGAGCATTTGACTGTTGTACGCTTTATTAATGTCAACATGGGTTGTTGTGACACAAGTCCCGTCACCGTCGCTTTCATCTTCAAATTTTACCAAAGTTTATTTTACGCCTAAAGAAAAAGGCGCGGATCGCAAACACATTTTTAGACAAGATGTTACAAGTCCCATCTCGCATTCCTCTTTAAATTATACAAATCTTTTTTTAACTTTATACTTTTGCGTGCATATTGCTCCGCATTCTTGTGCAAGTTGATTCAGTGAATAAAGTGCCCCCACCCCCCCCCCTCCTCCCCCGGATAAAGCGTTCTTACATAATTTATTTGTTTGGTTAGATCGTACAGGAGTTCGAACGTGTGGTTATATTCAGACTTGGTCGGACAATATCCGGTGGATCTCGAGGACCCGGTAAGTTGTCACACCCCGGTACATCCCCGGTATACCCCGTAAACATTTGGATGATCGCTTCTAAAAAATCCAACATCTTGCTCAAAGTTTTATGTATTGTGATTTATCTTATGTCGATAACGGAGAGCTAGCAATCGCTTAGTCACTCGAGCCAAAGGCTCATAACTAAAGTGAACCCCCGGTTTAAATTAGAATTCAGAAGTCTTTTCACTTTGAGCGGAGGAGGGGAGACTCGATTTTTTTGGAAGAGAAGAAGCGGATAAACTGTAATAAAGTATCCTCGATGCCAAGGGACGATCATTGATTCCACGCAGGTAGAAAACTATTTATTATTGTTTTTTTTTCCTTGCAGGAGTGTTCTTCTTCCTTCCTTGCATCGATAAATACGACATTGTGGACCTAAGGACTTTGGCGTTTGACGTCCCACCACAGGAGGTAAGAGCGCCAAAATTGTCTCCATTGCTGGGTTTCGCTTGACGTCATTTCCTTTCTCGCGTGGATTTTTGGACAGATAATGAATTTCAAAGAATTTCGTAAGCTGATTGAAACCAAGTAATACTTTAAGAACAAATTTTGACGAAAACGCAGATGCTCCGTTTTTTATTATTGCGCCGCACACCAGCACACATCCACCACTTTTTAACTCATCCCTATATTCTATTTCATCACATTCAGTGTCTGACGAGGGACAGCGTAACGGTAACTGTGGACGCAGTCGTCTTCTTCAAGATCACAAATGCTACGGTATCTATCACCAATGTGCAGAACGTTCAAGCGTCTACGAAGCTCTTGGCTCAGACTACACTTAGAAACATGATAGGCACAAGAATCCTGTCGGATATATTGACTAAGAGAGAAGAACTTAGTGCGCAGATGCAGGTTAGTGTGGCTTGGTTGGATAGTGTGTTGCCTGATAAGGAAGTGGTCCATAGTTTTAGGAGCAGAAAGCGTAGAAATTATACCATGAAATATTCTTTTGAAGAAGAAAAGGTTTGGATAGACGGGGAAGTTTGGATTGAGGCGAGTGCGCAACTATCAAAACTAGGAAAGACGTATATAGATACCCTTAAAAACGTGCATGAAAAAGCTGTAAATACTGCGCATATCATTACTTTAAGTCAATTTCTTTTGTTTGTTTTATGTGCAGATGATCCTTGACGAAGCAACCAATCCCTGGGGTGTGCATGTTGAACGTGTCGAAATGTATGTATTTTTTGACCTTTTATACTCATAACTAAATCCAGTTAACTTGATCATGATAGCGCGCGATAGAAGGTTCATGATCGTTTGTGACGCATGCCTTTGTATTAACGATAAGTTGATAACAGCAAGAATAGACTCCTTGCAGCACATCGGAATGCACTTCAATTTGGAGGACATAACGATAGGTTTCCAATTCTCTCGAGATTGAAATTCTTTTGTTTTGACCTCTAAATTGAGCTCCTTTAGTTTGTCGTCATACAAGGGGTCTGAAAAGCCGGACAACATTTCTAGACCAGAATTTTACCAGAATGTGCAATCCTTCTTGCGCACCTCCTTCATCCATTTGTATGACCCGTGAAGATATAGTAATATGCCCTCAATAATTTTTAATGGAAGTTAAGCTTCGTATTATACAAAAAGATCGAATTTTTCCTAAACTTTATTTGATGTCCACAGGAAAGACGTACGATTACCCGTCCAGCTACAACGCGCAATGGCTGCCGAGGCAGAAGCTACGAGGGAAGCCAGCGCCAAGGTATTTTTAATAGGACATTTGGACTAACAGATCACGTTATCCTATCCCACTTAAATCGAGCTGTTTTACTAAACCACCCCTCCTCCCTAAAATGAATCTTCACTTGATATGCCATTCTTTTTTTACTGCGCTAGCTTTTCTGCACTTTCAACCAAGTAGCAAATAAGTTGTACAAAAGGGTCCCCACCCCACCCCTCAACCACTCCACAACCACCCCTCCCCCCACTAAAATGAATATTCACTTGATATGTCATTATTTATTTACACAGCTTATTTGCGCCAACGGAGAGAAGAAAGCATCAATAGCTCTACGAGAGGCTGCTGACACCATGAATGATTCAACCCATGCCATGCAGCTCCGATACCTCCAGACACTCAACACCATCTCGGCAGAGAAGAACTCCACCATTGTTTTTCCCTTGCCTATTGAATTTCTTAACAAGTTTCTGCAGTAGGAGATTCTAGGTAAATGGATTGTTCGTCTCACACAGTCATGATGTACCATACCTTTGTGCCCTTGGGTTTTCCAAGAATCCCAGACTTAAGTTCTAGTTATAATGGCAACAAAATGGTGCAGCTTGACCTGCAACATTATAGCATTGCAAGTTGCTCATATCAATTTTCCATGCGCAACATTCTTTGAAGAGCAAAGTAGAAGCTTTCTCTACTCTTGGCAACAATGAAAACTTTCTTACATTTCTATTCTCTGCGTATCTCGTCGCACAACATTTGCAGACGCATAAGTGGTGTCATACCCTGCATATTTTCAAAGTGGTTTTACTTGGTCAATGATAGAAACCAACTAATGAAGTATGTATAGTGTATCATAATTGGTATTTGCTGGGTTTCAATTAGCTGGTAAAAGTCTTTGAATCTCGTTATCTGCTCCAAATGATGGTTAAACACGGACCACCATGTGCTGTCAACCAACAACAACGACAACTGTTTATTTGTACCATCCATTACAATTACGATTACAAATTATAAATGATAAGAAAAAATAAAGGGTTCAGGTACTAGCTGTCTGAAATAACCATAAGGGCTAAGTTAAATGGAAAACTTCTATTGAAAATTTGCAATAAACCCCAATTCTCAGGAGATTGAAATTCTTTTGTTTTATCCTGAGCTGCTTTGACGTCACATGCAAGAGGTCTATTCTGCAGATGAACATTTCGCATGAAAAAGGAAATGCTATCAAGTGAAACCAAATAATAGTTCATATTATATAGACCGAACTAGATAGCTTGCAACAATTTTTAATGAGTATAAAATAATATTAGTACCTTATTAATGAACATTATACTATTTTATCACAGGCCAAGTAAGAACACTTTACCTTCCACAAACATTGAAGACACAAAAATAATTCAATTTCAGATTATTTTTCATCAAAGTACACAAGTCAAAAAGCGTAAAATCATAATTTTGAATTCAAGCCTCTAAAGAAATTTAAAAAATAACTTTCATAAAAATTGAATGCATTTTAATGTTTTTTTATTGTACATAGCCAACATAGAACTAAATGCAAAATATTCATGTGCTAAATATTAAATACTTTAGCTTTTCATTCCACTGCACAGTTAAAAAAATATTAAATATATGAAGTACTTTTGTTAAATGGATTAATTTGTAGTGCTTATTAATCAGAGGTAGTATGGTTTCTTGTAGACTCAAATATGCTGGAAAATGAATAGAGAGAAAATATTAATTAATATTGGTAATCATTGGAAACAAAAATAATCATCAGTGCTATCATTATCATCACCACCATCATCTTCAACATCATCACCATCATAATCATCATGACCATCATCATCATGAACATCACCACCATCATAACCATCATGGCCATCATCAACATCATGGCCATCATCATCATCATTACCATCATCGTCACCATCATCACCACCACCATCATCACCACCATCGTCACCACCACCATTGTCACCACCGTCATCATCACCACCATCGCCACCACCATCGCCATCACCACCACCACCATCATCATCATCATAACCATCATGGCAATCATCACCATCACCACCATTATCATCACCATCATCATCACCATCATCATCATGGCCATCATCACCATCATCATCACCATCATCATAACCATCACCATCATCATCATAACCATCATCATCATCATCACCACCATCATCATCATCATCATAACCATCATCATCATCATCATAACCATCATGGCCATCATCAGCATCATCACAATACTGTCAGATGTACTTACTCATCAACTTGTACACAATGTACTCCATGTTCTACCAGCCACTTCTTCTTCTCAGGTTTATCATTTTCATGTCCCCATGCAATCAAAGTAAGACCTTTCTGCAAGATCTTCTCAATGCTTGCCGGTCGATCAAACAGCAGAGAAGAGAATATATGAATGCCATCTAGATTCTCAGACTTGGCAAAAGCCACAGCCATCTCGGTTGTTCTTGCACGTATGTCAAGATATGGGTCCCAGATAGTATTTTGCCCTTGAGTGATGAGGAAAACTGGGTGTCTGGATTGTTTTGATTGGCACCTATCAAATGGGGTAAGCATGTTAAGTATGTTTATTGGATACTGAATTTTACTTTGAACTAGTTGAGAACCTCAAGGGATCGGGGGATGTATAAGATCTACAGGGGCTAATGTTGTTCATTACCTTAAGGGGGAGACATTATTTCAATTAAAACCTGCAAGACCCCCCCCCCCCCATTCGAAGCACTTACTAGATGTTAATGACCCCACAATTGATATTTTTGGAAATGACCTCAAAAATGAACATATGAAAACATTTAATGCAAAGTGACCCTCCAGCAATTCTGATAGGCCCCCCACCTCCCAGGTGATAAATGACCAGCCCCATAAGTGACTTACAAGACACATATATCTGGGTCAAAACAGCCAAGAAGGATCTTTCTAGCTCCTGCCTTATCAAATATCACTTGAAGAATTGAATCCACAAACTGGTTCTTGTCTATGCATAAGTGGTCGATGCTCTCCTCATACTAGAAGAAAAGTTTAGCATAATTTTATTTATATACTACGTAAGTCCATCATTCCCATAGGCAAATCAATCACTCCTCCACCTTATCAAAATTTTCATTATCATTACAAATTTGAAAAGTACAAGCATGTCTTGTCAAGCGAGGTCTTGGTGATAGGGGGTGGGGCAATGTACCTGTCAATAACGCACACAGGCATGTTTTATCTTTAGCCTTTCTTGCCATATCCACAAGTTCAGTAAGACTTTAGTTGGGGAGGGGTGCTGCGCACAATTTTAACCCAGGGAGGGTTGCACCCCTTAGAATCAAAGGGAAAAACAGTATTGGTTATCTTCGAAGTAGGAGCATAAAGTGTAACCAGGGTGCACCCCCTGCACCCCTCCCCTGGATCCGCCCCTGGAGTGTTGTTAGTGTGTCAATTGAGTATGGGTACGCAGAGTGTAAATTTAAAGGTTTTTCGTAACTTGTACCTGTGTTTACTGTTACCCTTACCATTTCTCGAAATGGATACTTCAACTCAATAAAGAAACCTAATTCCTGTGGTACCTCACAAAGTGCCTAAAATAAAAGATACAGAATATGCCTTAAAATATGTCAAATTGAAATGTTTAGCATCTCTCATTCATTATTTCCCCACAAGATTTTGAAATGCAATACTGCATGCAGTGTTTAGCATTCAAAAAGCTCTATTTAAATTTACATGGTATAATTTTTTCTGGCCACTGTTGGGTTAGGGTTAGGTTAGGGTCCATTTTGATTGGTCAAAACTAAAATATGTTACAAGATCTAGATCTTATTGTACAGCTTTACTGTGAAGTGACATCATATCACTTCACTGATAGGTTTTTTATTTATGGCTTTATTTCACAGATATCGACCCTAAATGTGTAATAAATACATGTACCTCTTCTAAAGTAGGAAACAGCATATAATCTACAGTGACATCTGGTTTTGATGAAGAACTCGTACTAGTATTATTCTCATCATGCTTTCGCTTGAGACCTTTATTCCTTGCCCCTTGATTTGCTGCCATCTCACTCCATTCCCACACCTGTAATAAACAAAAAAAATTGACAATCTCTCTGACACTTCTTCCGTGGGTGAGGTATCGGTATTTTCTGAAACTACACAATATAACCTCCTCAGACCCTCCCCACCACTTATAAACACTAATCCCCTCCATGGTGGAGGTATGGATATTTTCTGGTACTACACAATATACCCTCCTCAGACACTCCCCATTCCTTGGAAATACCAACCCCTTACCATGGATGAGGTATTGATATGTTCTGGAACTACCCTCCCCACCCCCTGGAAATTTTAATTTCCTGTTAAGTAGAGAGAGAGAGACAGAGATATGCCTGTCTAATGCAACATACTTTAATTGTTTTCATCTGTTCTGCAGTTAAATCTTTGACTGGAATCTCAAAAAATGTTGATTTCGATTCCTTTGATGGTGATGATGGAAATGTCTGTTGACAAATACATACAGTAGTTATTTAAAAAATATATATTCACATGGCATGGACTTTTAACATTCTGCTACCTGTGTTGAACTCTTAAGCCTTACTCTTTGGGAAGGCATGGATATTTTCTAGAACTACACAATATACTCTCCTCAGATCCTCCCCACCCCCTGGAAATTCCAATCCCCCTCTGTGGTGGAGGTATGGATATTTTCTGGAGCTACACAATATACCCTCCTCAGACCCTCCCCATCCCTTGGAAATTCCAATCCCCCTCTGTGGGGAGGTATGGATATTTTCTGGAGCTACACAATATACCCTCCTCAGTCCCTTCCCCACCCCTTTGAAATTCCAATCCCCCTTAATGG